ATGCCATGTACTGATTCATGAATCAATTTTGAACATACAGTACAATACAGAAAGGCGCTCATCAATTCAACATAGCAATTAATCCTATTTTCATTACAGTAATATCATATATCTAAAGAAAAATTATTGGAAACGTTCTTTCCATAAACTTAAACTCAATCTTTTGAATAACANATGCCATGTACTGATTCATGAATCAATTTTGAACATACAGTACAATACAGAAAGGCGCTCATCAATTCAACATAGCAATTAATCCTATTTTCATTACAGTAATATCATATATCTAAAGAAAAATTATTGGAAACGTTCTTTCCATAAACTTAAACTCAATCTTTTGAATAACATATAGTTCAAATACAAATTATATACTTAAAATCTATAGGAAACGTTTTGCAATAATCTTTCTAATACACAGATATGTTCTGTAACATTTGAGACTCATATTTGCACTGTGTGTTGTTGATGTATGGTTTGTCTTGATTACATAAAAAATGTAATCCATTCAGAAATATAAACCAAACTTCGCAATATATTTTAAAGAATATTATTTGCGTCAAGACGTTGCCTTTTGCTACGAACTGTTGTTCCAGAATCATCTTCAGAGTCACCATTGGCAGATAAAAAATCTCGTTTCCTATCAGTGTTCTGAAACATTTTATTTAAAAATAAATAACAAAGGATAGAACAATATAGGAAATATAATATTTGATTTCTTAATATTACCTTCTTGTCCCATTGCTGGTGGAGGTACCTTAATAATATAGTTGTTTTTTCGGTAACTATGACTGCAGTAAATACATGAAATAGTAAATAAATTCCGTTTATATGAATAACATGGCTTATAATAAATAAAAAATTTACCTTGTTCTGAGGGATGATCTCTTGTTGGTAGATAAACTGAAGGTTTTTTTACACAAGTTCTATTTCCATTGTCCGTATGAAAATTAGCAAAATTATTTTCATTGTGCGAAGGCAAGCCCTTCAGAAACTCTGCGACAGACTTCAAACACAGAATTTCGATATAAGAAAATAGGCTAACGTAAATATCAAAGATTTATTCATTTTTAATTAAATGTATATATACTAAAAATCTAAAACGTCAAGATTTGTTGTTTAATTAAAAGAAACACTGGTCAAATTCGAAAGGAAATAATTTAATTTCCATGTATTCATTTTTTTTCAAAATATTTTAAGATAAACGATGTATAACCTAGAAGATTATTTTGTATCAAGGAAGAATGCTGTGAACCTAAATAAAGAACAAGGTTTACCATTTCGATACGATTAAATCACTGCAGAAGTTATAACTACGACAAAAAATTAATTTAAAAAATCATATCCACATGAGAACGCGTAATATTTATATACACAAGGAAAAATATGTTTCGAACGCTGTGCTAATTGGTACGAAATCAACTACCATCCACTACATACCGTCATTTCTTTAACCACAGATTCTAAAATATCTAGATATGCTCTAAGACATCAACTAAATTTTTAGAGACGAAATTCTGACGTTATGTTGCTTAATAATTATTTTCAAATTACAAATGGCATGCTATAAAAGTCACTCTTCCATCTTTAATTTGAATCCTCCAAAATTAAAAAAATCTTAACGAGAAAACATTGAAATCTAATTTTTATTCGAATGTATATGTGTAAATAATTCTTACCAGTTTTGCCATAAGGTACAACATAAAATTCGGCAAGATTCATTTGCTTCGTTTGCGATGCTGCTTGTGACAAAATTATGAAGTTTCTTTCGGTGTCCGTATAGCGCCAATTAGTACAGGCAAATCGGGCACTGAAAGAATCTTCCTGATTTTTCCACAAGAGGCGCCACTAACGAGTGAATTATCCTTCGTGGGATTAGTAGCATTTTAGGATAAATTGGTAGAAATGGTACGAATCATTCTCACTCATTTAAATAATATTAAAAATGCACAAATTTTAGATGGTAATAAACGATTAAAATAGTTTCTTAATAATCATTTTTACTTCATTCTTAATTCCGATTAATTACTTGTTTTCCGCAATACATATATGTAAAGAAAGTTTGAATGGCGTAAACAATGTGTTTGACGTTTTCAAATGTAAGCATAACCTGAATGTAATCTGCAATTGCCAAATACGTGAGAAGTATACTGAAATAAAATTAGTTTGTTTTGTACAAATTAAAAAAATGTATAAGAAGAACTGGCAGAATTTGCGAAAAATTGATGATGCTTATGAGCTCGAAACGGAAACTGTTCATAGAACCCAGTGTTCTGGCAGAATAAACTTTGTGCACATGGCATTCGATTGCCATGTAGAGTATCTTGTTGCAATAGATACAGCAGGATACTTATATTATATCGACCTAAGTAATACACCTTCTTATCAAAAATTAGGTAACATTGGACAAGCAACATTAGTGGCATTTAATCCTATAAATAAATTTGAGATATTAATCGGCCTTACTACAGCTGACATAAAAATTGTGAGAGTGAATACAAACGTTACACAATTTTGTTTATTGATTGCTCACAAATTACCACCTACGCATATTTCTTTTTACAAACAATATTGTTTAACTTGTTCTCGTAAAGAAGTTATAATATGGTGCTTGCGTTCTTGTAGCAAGGCTCAACAATTAAGAGTTAATACAAAGAATGTTATAATAAAGAAAGCAAGCTTCTCAAACTTAGGGCACATTGTTGTATTGTACTACAATGATACCCTACAAGCATGGAATTTTAAAGAATTGGAAAATGATGTTAAAATAAATGCAAAAACATTTGGTATTAAAAACATTAAGAATTTCATTTTCACACAAAATGGGAGAGCAATGGTCATGATTGGTGCTCGAAATAAGATTATTATTCTGAACACATGTGAATGGAATTTACTCAAGACTTTACTTTTGCCTTATAGTATTATTGGAGTGAAGCAAATGTCACTTGTGCCATCACCTTTGGATGGCGGAGCAAACAATGTACTGGCATGCATTTCAACGAATTGCACACTTTATTTTTTTGATCTGACGCGATCTTGTTTAGTTCATACTCTGCAGTCTAACAAGCCTATAAAAAAGATTGTAGTTTCTGCAGATGGCAGATATATAGCAGTAATAGAACTAGAAGGATGCTTAAAATTGATCATGACTGGGAAATTAGTCTCAGAAAAATGTAAGCCCATGAAAAAGTTAAAGGAACCATGCAGACCAATTGCGCATGGTATACCAGATCACTTGCAATGTGTCAGGCAACTTATGAAACAAGAATTGCGTTTAGAAAGATTGATACCAATTTTGAAAGAATTCGGGGAGTACCCAGAAAAGTATCGACTTCTAATATGGTCCACTATTTTAGAATTACCAGGCAACAGAAGCGCATATTGTACCTTAGCTAACGAAGCTGCAAATGTACATTATTCGCCGAAATTTTTAAAAAATTATTCATTAGCAAACAGAAGCAAACAGATACTGTTGACGACAACAATGAATTGTTTGATACAATGGTGCCCTTTACTATCTCAGTGCTCATTCTTACCAAAGCTTGTTTTTCCATTTCTTATGGTCTCCCAGGTAACAAAGCTCGTTATGCAATGGTACAAATAATATTATTTATATCTTAGATTACAATTTGTTTGTTGTTATTACAGAAAGATCCCCTCCTTGGATTTGAATTTATTATCAGCATATTATTAAATTATTGTCAAAAATGGTTTGAATATCATCCTCTACCACCTTTAAATGTGTTAGGCATAATAGAAAATATCCTTCTACAAGCTGATCCTTCTTTGTTGAATATATTTTGCGAAAGAGGCGTAACGTCCAGCGAATACGCGTGGCCACTTTTAATGACTGCGATGAGCGAGGTTTTCTCTCGTTCTGAGTGGTTGATTCTATGGGATCATTTGATATCTTATAAAAAGCCATCGCTTTTTTTGATGAGTGTGGTCGCGTACAGCATTTGTTCACGGGAAATCATAATTTCTTCATTACACACTCCAGAACATTTTAAGCGGTACTATACCACACAAGGCCATATTAATGCAAAAGAGATGCTCAAACTTGTTCATAGACTTGATAAACATATACCCTTGAGAACACATCCTAGTCGTTATCTCAGGTAAGAGCAAATTATTACCATCTTATATATCATGTAAAGATTGTTTGATTGTTTACAGGAATGAATTAATTACATTACCCTCCAATGGACCATATTTGCCACTCATGTTACATGAATTTCCAAAATTCTTGACTGATGAAGTGTCTGTATTGGAGTTGGAAAAAATAAAACAACAAGAACAAATTGCACGGGAACATAATCGTAAAGCTATAGAAATTTCCGAACAGAAGAGATTGAAGCAAGAAGCAGAAGCATTTATGGAACAGATTAATCAAGCAAGACTTACCGGTAAATTACTGCAACAACTATTAGTTATTACTTCTAAAATATAAAATGGCTTTATACTTTTTAGAAGTAGAAAGGTGCATCAAAGAAAAACTTTCCGATATCGATTGGATATCCGGGAGTACAGCATACATAAGCAAACCAGAAATGCAGTATAATAATATTCCAAAACTAGATATAGCAACAGTTTCGAGTGACGAGGATATTTTAGATTCTAGAAACAACAAATCGAAACGTTACGAACAATTGCAACAAGACGTGGACAAATTGGAGTACGAAGTATATAGCCTTTTAAACTCTTTAAGATCACAAAAATCAAGAATGGGAAATACTTGATGTCTTTTCTGAATTCTATTACAATATGAAAAGCATCATCAGAGCATAGTATCTGAAATGGAATGAAGTATAAAAATATATGATATTGATCGTATAAATGATTGTATAGATTTATTGAACAATCTTTTATAATATTTATAATTTGTAAATACTATTAAAGAATCTCTGTACAAGGGATTAAAATTGTCTCACGTTTTTATATAAATGTACAAAAGTATCGAATTTTGTATTTATAATAATCTTAACTTAGCTATAAGAATAGCATGACTTGCTGTAAGATGTACATTGCAGCATTTTTTAATTTTAGATTGTGTGTGTTTCTCACATTACCTCAAGAAGGTTATTCATATTGAATAAACGAATGAACAGGTACATTGAGTTTCTCCTTTCCTTTTAGCCTATTTAACTCAATTATTACTAAACATTCGACCACGTTGGCTCCCAATGATTCTAATAATTCTATAGCAGCATTCATAGTGCCTGCAATCACATCATTGAAACATACCAGATTGAGTAAACATTTGTAGATTCAGTTTTTTAAGATGTAATTTCACATTCATGTAATGTATATTTTATAGTGGTTTAATTTTCAATTTTCTGTACTAGTTCTTCAACACTGTGTTGCATTCAAAAAACTGGGTATACAAATATTTTTCTGAACCACTATAGAGGGTGAGGAATTTAAAACAGCTCACCTAATAACTTGTTTGTCTTTAACAATAGAAATAAAGTTGCTTAGTGACAAGGAGCACATGGTGACAATAATTTTGCAATGATTAGAGGAATAGAAGACATATAAAGGTCAAACCTATTTTTTCAGATAGAATAGTATACTTTTTATTCTAGGGTCTTATTCTATGTAAAAAGAGCTGTAATTTTTATCTGAAGCCAAGCAACTTTTGCCTAGAACTTTTTTTTTATTGTTAAAGACAAACGAGTTATTCAGGTGACCAGTTTTAAATGCTGCACCCTATATATTTTGAGAAATGAACATCTTTATAAGTAGACTCCTCACCTCCTGTTGCTAGTAAGTCATCGACAATTAGTACACGTGCTCCTTTGGGTATACTTTCCACTTGAATCGCTATTGTTTCCTGTACAAAGAAAATGTGTAAGCAATTTATGTGCAGCATTAAGAATAAAGAAGCAATAACTCAAATTTGATCTCCTGACCTCTGAGTATTCAAGACTGTAATCTTTTTCTATAACTTTTCCAGGAAGTTTGCCCTTCTTTCGAATTGGTATGAAAGGTTTCCCTAATTCTAGAGAAATCATCGGACCGAAGAGGAAACCCCTGGAATCCAATCCTACAACTAAATCAATTTCAAGGAATAAAACATGTTCCACTATCAAGTCTTTCATTGCTCTCAATGCTACCACATCGCGGAATGCGCCGAATATATCTCTGAAAATAATTAACTTTTTAAATAATTGACTTCTTAAATATAACCATCATAAATAGATGTGAATAGACTACTTACCGAAACTCAACACCTGGTTTAGGGAAATCAGGATAAGATTGAATTGCGTTTCGCAGCAGTTCGAGCTTTTGGCTCTTATCCATCCTGGGTATTGAAGTCATTAAACTACAATTAGCAATGATGGTTATCTAATAGCAGCAGAAGAAAAACTAATGTAAAGCAACATTGTATCATAAAACATTGAAATTAATAAATAAGGAGAAACATACTTAGAAACAATAAACGGAAATAACAATTGCACACGCAATTCAAGATTTGATTGAGGAAGTGGAAACCACGTGGACGTCAGCTGACTATTGGCTAAGGGGCCATTAGTAATGGCTAGAGATTACGATACAATCGTCATCTTGTGAAACGAATTGTTATCTACTGTATTAGAAGTCTGAACATGATCTGGCGTAAACAAGCTGCGATTAGATAATAAGAAATATCGTTTAGTAACTTATAAATCTATGTAAAAAACCATAAATGTACAATATTTAATCTACGTATCATTCTTTGAACACCATTCAAATTCCGGTTGCCTATGACAAGAATTCAACAATAATAGTATATTCAACTATGATGGAAATAAAACTCGATGGTCCACATATTCAAGCTTGTAACAACCACCACTATATATTTTATCGAAGTTGTTAGTTATTTTTATACGCTGCGATTTTTAAAAAACTTTGTACACGAATAATTCTAGTATTAATAGTATAGTAAAATAAGGAATATTCATTAGAGCGGGAGTAATAAAGAGGAACATTAATTAAAATATTTACAGGCTTATAACAAAATACTTACATAAAATGTAAAAATATATAAGCCAAGTTCCTTAATGTATTAGTAAAGGTTTTCTAACTTTATACAGTATCTAAAACATTATAAATATAACTCCTTCACTAATCGAAGCGCACTTTTTGTTAATGGTGGACGCATATCTGGCACCCGGAAATTTTATTATTCAACAATTATACTTTAATTAAATAATACAATAAAATCGACACATTGTCTTCTCTTTCGCAAAGAAATTATAACGGCGGTGTGGAAAATGAACACTTCATATAATAATCCACCCGTTTTTTTCTATCAACTTCTCGCAAAATAATTCCATATAGAACGTATCTTAATTCTATTACATTCGTCTTTATACTAGAATCTGCTGATACTTCTACTTGGAATTATCAGCTCTGTGACTAGTAGCTCATGGGGACGATCCCTCGCAATATAATCAGGCACACCATTCACTCCTACCTAGACTATTGCCTTGTCTTGAGAACATTAAGTTTTGTCAACAAAAATAAGCTGTATTATTTACAAAGCTATCGGTGTCTCAATTAAATATCAACTACCACTTCATGACGCAGAAAGCCATTGTACAACACTATAGTTCATTCTACGAACGAAAAGCTGTTGATTGAAACAATTCAATCAGACTTTCGTCGTGGCTAACAATTTGATGTAATGCGCTTTATGAGTGATCTCAAACTCCTGAGCGGGTAGGAAACATTGTGTCTGTATCCTGGGATGTCTCACCCTCTTCACAACGCTTCTGGCAAGTAATACGAGCGCTACCAAAAGAGCGCAGCCAGCCCCAATGATCACCAAAACAATGATCTCGGTGTTTTGCTTAAATCCTTGCACTTCGACGCAATGAAGCCGGTCCCGATCGTCCATGAAGTTTCCAATAATGTCTTCCTCGTCCATTTCGTCAAGACTGGCACAAACTTTGTAGCGACCAGGCAGTAGAACCTCTAGGGTCACGAACGTTAAGCTGCAGTTCAGCTTCTGCTTGCGAACTGCAGATTCTGCGTCGAAAACAACGATAGACAATTCACATTCGGGTAGACTGAATTTGTTTGGAGTTGAGAGGCTAACATCCACATGAAGGAACCCTTGATCTGATACATTCACGTGAACTCCAGTTATTTTGGTATCAGTGGACTCTATAGCGGGTGTCTCTTGATCTTTCTGTACGTCACGTTTGGTTTCCTCGAGCGTGAGCACGTCACTGCAGCCTAGGCCCAAGGACACCTCGTCGTAGTTGCCTGGTACGAGGATCACAACGCAGTAGCGATACTTGTGACCTGGTTGCAGATTCAGGGAAGCTGGAATAGCCACCGGCAGCGAGCAGGGGTCCCTCATCATACGGGAATCACAATGAAGGGAACTGGAGACAGTCTGGACTTCGCTGTCGCCTATAGTTTCATAGACGATCAAGGTATCGCAGGTGTATCGCTCGGTACACATCTCCACGTGCCACAGAAGATTCACGCCGGTCGATCTGTCGTAGTGGAACTCCTTCAGCATTAATTGAGTTCCGGTAGAAGGCTCTCTGGTAGTGATAGGCGGCGTTGGATCGCCGCATAATAAACTACCAGGAGATACCTGCGTCAGGATACCGTTCTCCAAAGCTGGAGGCGTGGCACAAACCGCGGAGGATTTATCTTCCTCGTTTAAACTAGAGTTGCTCAACCAGTTGGCAAATTCTAAGAGCGTACAGTCGCAGTTTAAAGGATTGTCAGCTAACGAGAGCTTTTTCAATCGGAGCTTGGACGTGGGCACGTCGCTGGCTACCATAGTGATATCATTGTCGTCGAGGCGAAGATCTTGCAGGCTCTTCAGGGGTACTACTAAATCTGCGGTCAATGATCTAAGAAAGTTGTGGGTCAGGTCCAGGGTTGTTAATTTCTCCAAGTGAGCCAGAGAGGCGCTGGATACCGCGACGATGCGATTGTTCGCCAGGTCGAGCCTGGTAAGAGTCGATAGATACTTGAATGAGTCGTCCTCCAGCACATCGATCTACAAATAAGAATAATAATTTTAACATTGGTATAACGAAGAGAGAATAATTTCTAGGATACCTGATTATGGTTCAGGCTGAGGTAGCTCAGGTTTCTCAATCCTGTCAGTGCTCCTTGCGTGATGTTAAACAGCTCGTTTTCCGACACAGTCAGAGACCGCAGACGTGGCATTTTGGGCAGAAAATTTGGACCCATCGGACCTAGCAACAGATTGTTCGACAAGTCGAGTTCCTCCAAGATCTTGAGGCCCCTGAGAGCTGACAACGCTGACACACTCAAGCGGTTGCCTCTCATCCTCAAGGAGCGCAGTGAGGGTAACGAGGCAAAAGCTTGCGGCGATAGTTGAGATAACAGATTGTCGCATAAGTCCAAGTACGTTAGATTTGATACCCCCTGGAGTTCAAAGACGGCGTAAAATAAATTGTAGGTAAGTTCAAATTTGACTATATAGTCTATCGAGTATAGCGTTACCTTGAAAGAGTCCGCTTCTAGGGTTTTCAGTTTGTTCTGCGACAAATCCAGTCGTTCCAGACCAACAAGGTGTGACAAGGCAACTGTGGGTACAGAGTCCAAGAGATTGTTGGGAATTCCAAGGGCCTGAAGAGGTCTTGCCAACGCTGTGAACGCGTTCTCGTGAACGCGTCTTAGTTCTCCTGTGGAAACTACCAAGCCATGAAGAGCGACGCCTTCGAGAAAGCGTGCTGGTAACAAGGAGATGCCCGAGACAGTCACATCGAGGAGCGAAATGGTTCCTGGGCGACTAGATCTCAAGTGTTTGCTGATAGTCTGCAACGAAACAGTTTTGGTCAATCTACCTTTCATCGATTATCCTAGCTCGCGTGCATTGCGGATGGCTCGCGTTGCCAACGGATCGTCTAGGTTCCCCGCTAATTCCAAGATTAATTAGTTATACCGGATTGCATAACGGGGATCATTCGATTCGCGGTGGTATCGCAAGGAAGGATATTCGTCCGAGTAATTGGTAACGGGACATTCGATGCAAACCAGCCAGCGTATACAGGAGAGGAGAAAAACGGGCTCCGCACAATGGTCTCTCTGATAATACGAACGACTTGTATTTCATCGGCGGTCTATACGCCCACACCCGCCTGGCGGGTGACTAAAAAATCGCTGACCTCGATACCGTGGCAAAATAATCATATTCTAAGACAAAACGCGCGATGAAACTTATCTGCAAGCGACCGGTAATATCAACCAATATCGATTGCAGTATATTCTGGAAAATATTTTTCGCGACTTCCACAATGTCTTCCACAAGTAACAATGCGTATTTTCAGAAAACTTCGAAAAGCCTTTCTATACATCGTGAAGTGTCCAGCGTGTCCATTGCGATCCGAAGAAATACTTGCTACTAATCTAGGAGAAGCAGAAACGATGATCCGGTTTTAAGGTCTCCTTTCTCGATACACCCAGTACAATCCAGGCGTGGTCGTTAATTTCATTTAAAGGAGCCCCATGAGTCACCGTGTGCATACGTTCAGGATGAAGTGTACCACGCGTGAAAATTACCTGCAGCGTGGTTCTATCGCCGGTGCATCGGAGCGTGTGTGGAAAGTCGCAGGAACACTCGACGCCCGTTTTTGTAATATTTGGACACTCCCAAACAGTGTCGGGCGATGGCGAAGGCGAAGGCGAAGACGAGGGCAAAGACGCGTGGGACGAGTCTTTAACATTCTCCTCGACCGGACTTTTTACAGCGTTTGACGAATTATTCACCGGTGCCGCCTCGGTCTCGTCCGGGACCATCGTAACCGTCGGGATGCTCGTCGTCGCTTCGTCGATCGTTCTCTCGTCTTCTATCGACCCCTTCGATGCGTCTGTGCATGACGCCAGCGTTGTCAACACCAAGATCAGCGAACATCGTGAAGTCCACAGCATCCTAAAATGATTCATTGGCTTTACAGATTGATCATAAACAAGGATAACATCGGTTGCCAAAAATTCTAAACGTCTGGATTAGTAGTTTCTACGTTCTTGCGACGATTGCAGACCGAACACGAATAGAAGCAACAAGTTGTTAACTGAACATTGTCCGATTCAGTCTTGTCACCTCACCATCACCATCCGCTTTCAATAACCCAACTTTCGGCCCTTCGATCACCTTACAAATTTATCCGTGAATACTCCGATAAAAACAGCTTCCCTTAACACTCAAAATCAGTAATTGGTGTTTTAGTGTCTCAACGGAGGCATTCAAGAGCAACGGTAATCGAAAAGCCAGCCCGTTGAAGCCCGGAGAAAGAGACTGCCCCCGAGACCGATGTCGCATAATCACTACAATGAATTGTGGCTGATCGCGAGGAACGACTTGGAGAAATTGTTAATGCTCGATCGGAGGATACAAGCCCGGACGCGAACGAGGAGGAAGGAAGAAGGTTTGAACATGCTGCTTCCCACGTATTTGAGGTATACGATTTATAATTTACGCCCGGGATCGACGGCCATGAGTTAGAAGAATCGATCCGACCACGTAGATATCGCAATTTGGTGAAGAGACTGATAGCCTGTCACGATCAAATGGTGCAGACGCAGAAACGCGACCTGATCAAACGTGTTCTGGACTGCGCGGTTGGCCGTATGCTCGACTACAAGAAAAGGATCGTTGATCTGAATTTCTCGGATTACCAGTAAATAGAACAATACGTTTCATCGAATCCTGAACACCCTCGTTCGCGATGTTCTTCGCTGTTTACAGAAAAAAACCGCAGATTTCGTTCTCATGACAACCGAACTGAAATCTGTTCAGGTGGCCCGACGACTTCATGAAGCAGTTAAAATACAGTCCGGACGATGTCGAGATCACGATGTCAGCGAGTGGCAAGGACTCGGTCCAGCAGCGTAGAAAACGCATAGAGGAGATGATAGAGAACGCTTTGAAATGCACGTCCTGTAGCAAGTGTTACAACGAACGACCGACATCTAGAGCGTTATTTTGATTTAACTGGATTTCTTCTAGTACCGGCAGAGGAATATAAAGCATCGGTGACTGAAGCCGAAAGTCTGATAATGTCAGAAGCAAGCGCGACGAAAGTCCGCAGACGCAGAGTGAGGGGAGAGAGCACGGCGACCCCGTCGATCCTTCAGGTCTCACCGGAAGAGTTAGCAGCCCGGGAAGCTCGCCGCGCCGCGGAGGAAACCATGAGGAGAGCGATATTGCTTATACAGTCTCACGAGAGAGCGAGGATCGCGAGAATCGCCGGAACCGAGCGTCAGTAATAATCATGTAACACGTTCAGGACGGCTCTAACTGAGCCTCGAAATAAAGAGAGTCGTACATTGTTGCAGTGGAGCGAATGAGCGTTTACAGAAGAAGACTACAATTCGGAGAGATCGTTCCAAAGAAGCTTCCCAGGGACACGTTCGAGAGAGCCGCTAGAATAATACAGAGAGCCTGGTGGAACTACATGAAAAGGAAGAAGTTGAAGAAGAGAATGTACCGATTGGAAGAACTACTAGGAGCGGCAGCACCTCGCCACAAGTCCGACCATGTCCTGGTGAAGGACAGAGAGAACTTTCAGAGGAAGCTGGACCAAATGCCGGTGTTTGTTAATCGGGTCGAACAGGCGACACAGGATCATCGGGCGAAAGTAGTTGTTCAGTGCATAGGAATTGTTTCTTTGATAACGATGATTGTCCAATTCTTGTAAGCTGTGGAAGATCAGAGGTCCAGGTCTGATGGAGGACATCACGGAAGAGATACGCGAGTGGTTCATCGTCTGGTACAACGAACTGGGTCATTTCGACGCGTATCCTGCAGAGAGCTTGGGCGGTACTATACTGGTTGTCACCGAAGAAACCCTAACTCCGCAAGAGTTCCTCGCTCAGAAGAAGATGACGAAGCCCGATCCAAAAGCTCAGCAGCCGGAGACAACGCCGATAAAGAAGAAGATGAAACATGAGACATGGATGGCGGAAACAAAGGCGTTCAGGCTTTTGGACGCAGCGAATCAGGACTTCATTGCGGACTGGAGTTTTCGTGACGATTCGGACGATCCTCGAAACAAGATTTACGAGGATCTAATCAAGAACGCGCTGTGTTACGAGCTGCAGTTAGAGATGAGGAAAGCGGTCGACGAGCTAATGAGGCTCGAGCTGAAGAGGCTGAACCAGGCGCTGAAGAAAGACTGTAAAGCCGATGGCAGGGAAGTTGAGATCCCTCGATCGCACGGTGGGTTCCCTAATTCCATCCCCTGCGCTTGAAACAAACGAGACGTTAGACTCGTTGAGACAATCGTACTAACAGCGATACGATTTCGCGACAGAAAACTTTCACGTTAACCGATAATTAAGAAGTAATCAGTCACTGGGTGACGCGCGATTGTCGAGTCGATCTCATAGCTGCTGTCGTAGGCGTAACAGAGAGCCCAGCGATTATTCACAGTCGATTGTTTCAACGAGTGTGTTTTAAGCGTGTTTTAAACCGTATTTCGTTTCTCAAGGAGGAAAGAAGAAAAGGAAAGGGGAGAGGCGAAAGAGAGGCAAGCAGGACAAGTTCACTGTGGAAGAGAGTTTCAACGAGCTGGTCCAAGCGGACATTATCACGAACTACCCAACAACGTGTCTGAAGGACTGGCTGGGAGATCTGTCGTATCAAAACTACGAGGCAGCCAGAGAGTTTCGAGACCACCGGCACCGATTAGGCGAGATCAAGCAAGTGGTGATGGAGAACTGTGTTCTTCCATTGAGCTCCAAAGAGATACACCAAATCGCGCCTTTGGTGCGATCGGTATGCATCTGCGGGCTACCTGGACACGGGAAGATGTTCCTGGTGAACGCGATTTGCTCCGAGGTTCGCTTTATCTTTCGGTCGATAGCGTTTCGAAATTCTTGAACTTTTATGGTTTTACACAGATCGGAGCATTGTTAATCAACATGACGCCGATCGTGTTGGTGGACAAGTACTTGGGGAAGAAGAACGAGCGGAAATTGATAGACATGATCTCTAAAGTGGCTCGTGAGCTGGCTCCTTCCGTAATTTTCATCGACGACGCGGAGAAGGTTTGGGCGAAGAAAGTTCCTCCGGAGGAGCAATTCGTGAAACCGAAAAGATTCGCGAAATATTACCTGAAGCTTGTGAAAAGCATCAAGCGAGGCGACCAGGTAGGTTCTTCGATGAAGAACATTATACGTGAACGACCATATTTAGATCCATTTCAAACATTAACGCAACCGATCGATCGTGACAGGGAACTGCGTTGCTATAATGCAGGATAATTAATTCGTCTCGACGAAAGCGCGTTGATTGTTCGATTCGGTTGTCCGCGAGGAAAGCGGCCGGTGTTGCAACCGATCGATGTTGCATTGCCTTTCCTAAAGTGGCGAGGAATGTTAAAGTTGGTGATCTGGTAGTGCGCCCACTATATGAAATTCTCGATATTCCTGTTTCGACTCTTTCTCCAATATGAATGAACCACCTGATTAAGCCGGGGCTGGGTACCCCCACCTTCGGGCCCAGCCTCTTTCTCATTCCCAAACGATCGCCCGTGCCTGGTCATCAATGAAACACCTCCTACCAAACGACCAGGACGTAGGTGGTAGCAAGTTAACATAGGATTTAGAGTGTCGACGATTCCGGGCGGATACGAGCGACCATTGGCGTAGAGATTCCAACGTATGGATTAATTATTCATTGTTGTTTGGCAATTACATGAAATCGATACGCCGCATGATCGTCGTCGACGCCGATCGTACGCTCGATCGCCGGTGAAACGCGTTCAATAAAGTCCCCCCACGTGATACTTTACAGATCCTATTTCTCACGACCTCCTCGGAGCCATATAAAGCAACAAGTCCCTTCGTCAGGGTACACGACAAGTTCATAATGATTCCTCTCACGGACTACAACACGCTGTACATGTTTTACAAAGATCTACTGATGAGGTACCACGGCGTCGATCGCGGGATCGACGTCTCCAGCCTGGCCAAAGTGTCCGAGGGCATTCCTCTGGAGTTCATAAAACAGGCGGTGGAGAACGTGATGAACGTTAGTCGAAGGATCACCCTCAGGTTCAACCCACTGAACCAGCAAGAAATCTTGGAGGAGCTGCTGAAGTACAAGGCGCCCGCGAAGAAGACGTTGGATCAGTTCGTGAAATTCGAGTCGCGAACTCCGCTCGGGAAGAAGAGAGCGAGATTGGCGAAGGCCGAAAAGGCATTACGCGAGCGGATGAAACGGATGGAGCCCAAGAAGTGATTCGTAGAAAACGTATCGGCCGGGTTTTTCATCCGGGCAGACCGTTCCGAAGGTTTTCTGTCCCGCGAGAACCGTTCACCGAAAGCGAGGGAACGGAAACTTGTCAGCGAAAACCGTGGGACGTAAACGCATTCACAGAGGCAAGGCTGCGCTTTTCATCGAGAAAATGTTGCGCGGTTTCCTCACCTGTTTACCAATCGAAATCAGGATAGAAATTCGAAGGGAACGGGTTGGAACGAGAAAACGACGTTCTTTCTAAGAGAGAGACGCGTGATCATCGATTGAGCGATTCCTTCTTTCTTTCGTGTCGCGATTCGCCAACGTCCGCGTCCGGACGTGAAACTGGTTTTAGTCTTCGTAGGACGCTAAAAACGATCCTCGAAAAAGAGAAGCCAGACGCAGCGAGGAACGACGCTGAAAAAACTTAACGCGCTTAGATCCGGTCGTCGATCCTAAATACAACCACCTTCGAATATTCTTTACAACTTTGGCAAAGCCAGCTAACAACGTGTAACCGTGGAATAAAACTGAGAATGAAATTATGAATGGCTAACACGTTGAATTCATTAAGAAGCTCTAGTGTTGTGGGTGCTTCGATCTAGGTAAGACAACCCACTAGAATGACGAGGTTCTTACGCACGTTCTATTTCTCGTCGCACGCGGTGTGTGTGTTTCAAAATGTTAAAAGTATAAACATTTTGCTGAGCTAGTTATTATTCGTTAGGGCCATGTAAAATATAACTTGCCAGTGATACTGGTTCATTAGGCGATATATACATGGCGATAATTTAATAACTGAACGAGGTTTTGAATCCTAAAAAGGACGAAAGAACGCATTGATCTTTAACGGAGAAGTTCTGCGGACGCACACGTACCTACGGCAATGTGTATACCTCTGATCCGGGTGTTCGTGGACCCTTAGGCCCCTGCGGCTTCTCTTCACGCTTGGCACACGCACACGCAGTATGTCGTAGCACTTACGCAGGCGCGGCGCGGGCATTCACGCATCCAACCCACGTAGAGTGTTGCGCGCGGGCAACGCTCGAGAGGGCCAATCGCAGGCTCGAGAGAGCTGGCCAAACCGAGAGAGTTGTCACACGGCCATAGGCGCGGACGCTTGAACTTCTCGGACCCGGTTTAGACGAGGACCGGTGGGCACGAACGTGAACCAACGGACAGAGACGGTGACACCAGTGACGCGTTCGCCGGGTGCATCTTCCGGTTTGCTGCGCACCAGCGTCCGGACGAAGTCTCTGTTACACCCGCGGTTCAATGGGGCTTCGCCGCGACGGTACCCTTTGTAAACGCGACGAAGAACGACCGTACGACGACGTGGTACTAGCTGATACTGTGCACGAGGCACGCGGTGGGCACTCGTGCCGAGAAAACGTCGCCTCCGCCGTGTCCACACGGTGGGGACTCCGCCGGTGCGTCCGTCTCTCTGTGTCTCTCGGTTTCCACATAGCATAGCCATGTATGGAACACGGGACGACGTTCTCTCTCCCGGCCCTTACGCCCACTTGAACCGCTGCCGCTCTTGCTCCCGCTGCTAGCCGCGATTCGTTCTCATAGTCCCGAAGAGCAGGTATCGTCGCGGCGACGTCACCGTTACAGGTTGCCCGACGACGTCGCCCCATCAACCCTGCTTCCCTTGGACAGAGATTCCTCCACTATACATCAGACCGATCGTCGTCAGGCGGTGGTTTCGAATCTAGCGCGCCCCATGCAAGAAACGCCGCTAGCAACGGGAGATAACAAATGCTTAGGAGATCCGAACTAACGCTACGTTTCTTGGAGAACGGATGCATTCGGTAGCGATACTTCAGATCTTATTAGTAGACTGTAGATTCTTATGTAAAATTCCGCTTTAAAGATTATTTTATAGATCATCTTCAAATTTTGCTTTAAATATACACAAATCTGCAGTCTACTGATTACAATGAATTGTAAAATTTTTTGCATCTTCGTCTTGTCCTTTGTGTCCTTGCAGTTTGAAAATATAATCGGAGATTTCTTGAAGTTCGAAAGTAGAGTTGGAGATTTAGAGTTAGAGATGTTTAGCATTCAGGATTTGGGTTGTAGTTTGTGTGAACTGCTGAAGGATCTAGTCTTGTGAAGTCTGGTGAAAGGAGTAGGGGATGCGACGACCTGGAAATGTGCAACGCTTAATTAAATATATTTGTTCAGACTGACTGAGACGTTGAAACGCTTGGTATTTCATGTAACAAAAAAGAAAAAGTACACTTTATTTCCCACTCTTTGTTACTCTGCATAAATGTTTCACAAGCGGTCTCTGGATGTGGTCGGTCTCCGTTCGTCTACACAAGGGCGTTCTGGAAGAAGGAGAAAGGGTGAGAGAGGCAGAGAGAGAAAGAGAGACGGAGAGACTCCGAAGGCCTTCGGAATCTTCATGAAACGCTTTTTGATACTGGAAATCGGTCTCTCGCCGTTACGAAATCACGTAAAACCGGGCCTTTACGCCCACGCGGGCATGGCTGGCGTAGCTACGGTGAAAGAAAGTTAAACTTCTTTAACGAGCTGAATGTTTACTACGTGTCCAGCGAAAAGTGGGACTGGGACGGTACGCGCTGATAATACCTGTCTCATCTTACGGTGATTTATTGTTTGAAAGAGAAGCTCGAATGAAAAAGTACGCGTTAATTGAGTTGGGTCGGAATAACTTCCGCTACAAGCGCCTGGGAGGCTGAAAACTGAAACTAAAGCGAGGGGTGGGGCAGGTCATTAGTTTGGCGAATTGATTTAAATCGTAGAAAATTTTGATGACGAAAAATAAAGTGACCTTAAAAATTAATTCCTTTTTATCATCAGCTATCTGTTGTTATTACCGAAGTGCAATAATATCTCGTAGAAATAAACGGTATTGCATGCACTTTTTCTCTCTCCTTGCTCCAGCAATCTCTTAGTTTCTCCGCGTTTACCGGAAGTTTCGTAGATTCCAGTCCTCCGCATATAATCACTGTTTTTGCACAATGATTTACGCGGCGATGCGACTTCGAAAATATCTGAAAGATACGACGACGCTTGAGGAAAGAAGACAGAACGATTATTGGGCGTAAAGATAGTCTTTTTACGGAAGCAGAAATCGAAGATGAAGAATGCTTCTCCCAGATGCCATTGAACCAGGCGGCTCGCTTCGACTGGAACAAAAGTAATTTTTGCAGGACAAGAAAGGCCAAGGAGAAGCGGCTCCCCGTGGTCCCCGTGACAGCTTGATCGAGGGGTTCATTGTATACAAATTTCCCAGGAATTTAGTTCGTAAATTCACGGTTTATGTAATGGCTTGAACAGCGGTCGAAGATGATGTCTGCATCAATCGAACGCCTTGGTAGTCGTTCTTAAAATCCTCCGGATGACTCGGTCTGTTCCTTTTAAGGCTAAAAATAGTCTAGATCGAAAGAAAATGTTACATACGGTTCACAACTTCGTTCATACGTGTACAATTATTTGGAGAACACCATTTTTCAACTTGGATTGAGAACTATTTTACATAATATTTTATGTATAATGAACTTAATATATTGAAAGAGAATGATAGAATAATTACCAAGAATCTCAAAGAACAAAGCAGAAACTCAAATGATTCTGCGAATGGAAGTGGCTGTTCACACGATACTATCGAAAGGGCCGCAAATGCTTCCACAAAAAGCTGCTTCGACTGAACCGGCTACCAGTCAGCTAGTTGATCGACCTTTACTCGTAACTTCAAGCCAGTAGCTCGATTTTACGAGCGGATATTTAAAAGGTAGGATGCTGTTGTGATTCCTAAAGTAATCTGCAAGGAACCGTCCCTAATTGTAAGACAATTGACCTATATATTTCTTTTTTATTCCGTAAAAATTTGAAGAATTTTAAAGACGATGTATATGAAACCTTACTTGAGCAACAAAGAATAGTCTATGATCTTCTGACCAATATATTAAATCTACAAGTAGTTTGTTCGAAAATTATAAAATATTTTATTATGCAGTCCAACTGCAATAACATAATGATATTAAAATAATATAATAAAATTAACGCGTTCCTCAAGTTACGAATATTTTCCGTTCAATTATTGCATTTACAATTATTGCAGCAGGCACATTAGTATGGCACTTTAGTTGGAGCATCACACACCTCCATCAAGTATATATAATCTCGCACATCATTGATGAACCTTCTCAAAAAATTATGATCCTTTTTTATATTCTTCAGTAACTTTTTAATTACTTCCTCTCTGTAAAATAATAAGGTCATAATAAATAAATTTTCAATACGGCTTAAAAAGCAGAATTTATTAACAGACCTCACAGAGCCTGATGAGCCTGATAAAAATTGTACACTGATATCCTCAGATTCAATGTTTTCAAATGGTTTAAGAATCACTGTTACCCTCAATATAATATCCATCTTTTTAGTAAGAGAAACAAAAGATACACTGGAACAGAGGAAAAGATAGATGTTACATCCAGCATGGAATGTGTCAATAAATTTTGTTTAATTAATTACCTATCCCGCGTTATGTCCATTAAATTTCTATCTTTCAATCGGTCCAGTTCAAACATGAATTCCATGGCTAGTTTTACTTCCTTTGATACATGATCCAACATTAATAGAATATCATTAACACTTTTATACAAATCAATTAATTTTCTGACGTCTATTTTTTCTAAAATTAGCTTGTGAACTATACTTATTAAATCGCCCGCATCATCTAATAAAAATTGTTTGTTAATAGGATATTATTACTTGTTCCTTAAGAAATATTTATCACAATACTGTCCTACTATGAGCTCACCTGCCAAACGAGAAATCATCTTAACATCTTTAATAAATTGACTACCTAAGACATCATCATAATCATCTCTCAAATATATTACTAATAATAGAGAACAAGACATAAATCCTGCTATGAACATTTTCTTCTCAATATTTTCATGGTATATTTCCCAAATAATATTATCACTGCAAAAAGAAATACAAAAATTGTTATATTTTTTTATAAAACTATTTCAACGTTTTCATTTAATATACCTTTCAGCACAAGCACGTAGTTCCTTCAACAATGAAGAAAATGGATCTAGTTCAATTGTGACATCTTTATCTACAAGAGAAGCTTGTGGATCAATTTCTTCCAACTCTATTTCCATTGTAATTTTGTGTAATTTAAGTTCATCACTTTGAAGATGATTTTCTTCAGTGTAAGCTTTACAAAGATCTTTATCCACGACAGACTGTTCCATAGTTTCATTCTCTATATTAGAATTACTGTGCGTATCTTCATTTCGAGATGGACTGATAACATTAATTGTTGTGGAAATTATCTGGTTATTATTCATTGTTGACGAGGAACATTCCAAATCTTTAACTATTGTGCTAGGACTACCGCCATGTAATAGTCGAAAATGTGACGTTTCTAGACTATTTTGCTTTCCAGATTCATTTACAACTTCTTGCAGATCAAGTTTTTGAGTTTCTCGGCATTTAGTTACTCCAGGTAAACCCTCAATAATGTTTAAAGATGAGACAATTTCTTTTTCTGTTTCAACCTCCTGGCCGTAATTAGTATTCACAGATACATCTTCAACAGAGTTATCTAAGCAAAGAAACGACGGTGGCTTAATTGACTCCAATTGCTCTACAGTTCTATCAAAGAATGTGCTACAATTTTCGAATGAAGCTTGAGTCTGGAAACTATTTACATCTTGAACATCGTGACTCGTTCCCAAATTCTTACTATGTTCATTACTAGTATTTGGGAAAGAATGATCGATGCTTAATGGTTTTATAGTGTAAGTTCTTCGAGGATGTGGTAAAATATCTTGTGAGTGTTCATGTGACAAGAATGTTCCTTGACTAACATCTGGCATTACAGTGCATAGGAAATCATTTGATGCAGTGTTAAGTGTAGCACAAGCTGACCCTGTGTTATCTTTATTTAAAGCTGAAGCACAAATATCTTGCATCAACGAATCATGCATAGCCGTGTGAGTTTCAATATTTACTAGATTTGGAAGTTCACTTGAAGTAGGTTCCTTGATAATTTTATCTTCCGAGTTTTCTGATTTATTTATTGTGCAATTCTTTTCTTTTGACGATTCACTTGAATTTAACAAAGAGGGAACTACTAAAATAGTAATATCTTTTAGGACATTATCAGATGTAGTAATTTGATTTAAGGAATCTCTAGAAGAAGTTCTGTTGTCAACCTTTTCAGGTAGTATTGTTTGTCTGACCTCCGACAAATTCGTAACAGCATCAGTTCTTTCAGGAATATTGTGTAAAGGTGGTACAGCAACTTCTTCAGACTTTTGAATATTTGTGTCACAATACTCCACTCTTTCTTCAGACACATTCATTTGATTTAGAAAAGGTACCACAGCTGTGACTGCCATTAAATTATCGCCAACTATTTTGTTTTTATCTGATTCCATATTCAAATCACTTGAATGCATTTGAAGCACATCCACTGATGCATCATGGCAAATAGTAGATGTTTTATCATTGTTATGTCTTACTTCTTGCAAATCATATGTGACTTTGATACGTGCTTCGGATGATGCGTCTCTTTGCAAACTGCATAATTTAGTTTGAACTGCAACAGTCATTTCCATTGAAACATCCTTGAAATTTTTGGTATGCTCCCTGCATAATGTTCCTTTTTGCACAGTACATGGTCTAGTTGGTACTGCAGTTGTCGTATCTATTGATACATTATTGTGATTTTTATTAGACGTCACGTATGGTTCTTCTTCTTGTAAATTATGTGATTCAATAGGTACTGCAACAGTCATTTCCATTGAAACATCTTTGAAATTTTTAGTATGCTCCATGTATGGTGAGTCTTGTTGCAAACTGCATAATATAGTAGGTACTGCAGTCGTCATCTCCATCGAAACATCCTTCAAAATTTTGGTGCGCCCCGCGAGTAATGTTTCTTTTTGCAAATTGCATGGTATGGTTGGTACTGTAGTTGTCATCTCCATCGAAACATCCTTCAAATTATTAGTACATCCCGCGAATAATGTTTCGTTTTGCAGATTGCATGGTATGGTTGGTGCTGTGCTTGTCATCTGCACTGAAACATCATTGTAATTTTTGTTGGCCTTCGCGTTTGAATTTGCTTGCTGCAAATTACATGGTTTAGTAGGTACAACAGCAGTAATTTCCATTGAAATATCCTTGAAATTTTTGGTGCACTCTGCGTATGGTGTGTCTTGTTGCAAATTGCATAATTTAGTAGGTACTGCAGTCGTCATCTCCATCGAAACATCCTTCAAATTTTTGGTACGCTCCTCGAGTAATGTTCCTTTTTGCAAATTGCATGATATGGTTGGTACTATAGTTGTCACCTCCATTGAAACATCATTGTAATTTTTGTTGGCCATCGCGTTTGATTCTACTTGCTGCAAATTGTATGGTTTAGTAGGTACAACAGCAGTAATTTCCATTGAAACATCCTTGAAATTTTTGGTGCACTCCGCGTATGGTGTGTCTTGTTGCAAACTGCATAATTTAGTAGGTACTGCTGTCGTCATCTCCATCGAAACATCCCTCAAATTTTTGGTGCACTCTGCGTATGATGTGTCTTGTTGCAAACTGCATAATTTAGTAGGTACTGCAGTCGTCATCTCCATCGTAACATCCGTCAAATTTTTGGTACGCTCCGCGAGTAATGTTCCTTTTTGCAAATTGCATGATATGGTTGGTACTATAGTTGTCACCTCCATTGAAACATCATTGTAATTTTTGTTGGCCATCGCGTTTGATTCTACTTGCTGCAAATTGTATGGTTTAGTAGGTACAACAGCAGTAATTTCCATTGAAACATCCTTGAAATTTTTGATGCACTCCGCGTATGGTGTGTCTTGTTGCAAATTGCATAATTTAGTAGGTACTGCAGTCGTCATCTCCATCGAAACATCCTTCAAATTTTTGGTACGCTCCGCGAATAATGCTTCTTTTTGTAAATTGCATGGTATGGTTGGTACTGTAGTCATCATCTCCATCGAAACATCCTTCAAATTATTAGTACGTCCCACGAATAATGTTTCGTTTTGCAAATTACATGCTATGTTTGATGCTGTGCTTGTCAGCTCCATTGAAACATCATTGTAATTTTTGTTGGCCATCGCGTTTGATTCTATTTGCTGCAAATTGTATGGTTTAGTAGGTACAACGGCAGTAATTTCCATTGAAACATCCTTGAAATTTTTGGTGCACTCCGCGTATGGTGTGTCTTGTTGCAAACTGCATAATTTGGTAGGTACTGCTGTCGTCATCTCCATCGAAACATCCTTCAAATTTTTGGTACGCTCCGCGAATAATGTTTCTTTTTGCAAATTACATGGTATGTTTGATGCTGTGCTTGTCAGCTCCATTGAAACATCATTGTAATTTTTGTTGTCCATCGCGTTTGATTCTACTTGCTGCAAATTGTATGGTTTAGTAGGTACAACGGCAGTAATTTCCATTGAAACATCCTTGAAATTTTTGGTGCACTCCGCGTATGGTGTGTCTTGTTGCAAACTGCATAATTTAGTAGATACTGCTGTCGTCATCTCCATCGAAACATCCTTCAAATTTTTGGTACGCTCCGCGAATAATGTTTCTTTTTGCAAATTACATGCTATGTTTGATGCTGTGCTTGTCAGCTCCATTGAAACATCATTGTAATTTTTGTTGGCCATCGCGTTTGATTCTACTTGCTGCAAATTGTATGGTTTAGTAGGTACAACGGCAGTAATTTCCATTGAAACATCCTTGAAATTTTTGGTGCACTCCGCGTATGGTGTGTCTTGTTGCAAACTGCATAATTTAGTAGATACTGCTGTCGTCATCTCCATCGAAACATCCTTCAAATTTTTGGTACGCTCCGCGAATAATGTTTCTTTTTGCAAATTACATGGTATGTTTGATGCTGTGCTTGTCAGCTCCATTGAAACATCATTGTAATTTTTGTTGTCCATCGCGTTTGATTCTACTTGCTGCAAATTGTATGGTTTAGTAGGTACAACAGCAGTAATTTCCATTGAAACATCCTTGAAATTTTTGGTGCACTCCGCGTATGGTGTGTCTTGTTGCAAACTGCATAATTTAGTAGATACTGCTGTCGTCATCTCCATCGAAACATCCTTCAAATTTTTGGTACGCTCCGCGAATAATGTTTCTTTTTGCAAATTACATGGTATAGTTGGTACTGTAGTTGTCATCTCCATTGAAACATCATTGCAATTTTTTGGGGGTTTTGCGTATGATGTTTCTCTTTGTAAATTACATAGTCCAGTAATTAATGCAGCAGTCATCTCTTTTGGGACATCATTGAAATTTCGAGTATCCTGTTGATACATATTGGTTTCTTGCAAAGTATATGGTTTAGTAGATACTACTGTAGTAATTTCCATGGAATCATCATTAGTATTTCCAGGAAGAACAGCATGTTCATTTATCTGTGCTGTTATATTACAATTAATTATTGAGGATGCATCTAGCAACATTTCTTTCTTAGTTGGCTGTTTGTATGTTGATTCTGTTTTCCTGGATATACTTCTACAAACTTCTTCATGATCTATTGCAATCAGACTTTCTTGAATTATTTCATCACGAGTGAAACATATTCTAGTGTCCGTAATGGCAAGTTTATCAACAGTTTGAGAATTACTATACCTTACTTCATTATAATGATCTGTTCTAATTTCTACATTTGTTTTACACACATTTCCAACATCACATTCTTTGTTAGGAATGCATAGTACATTAAGATTACTTATATCATGTTCTTCGTACGTATTATTCCACACAGTGCCTTGCTCCAACGAATTACAGAATTCTCTGCACAATGAATAACAGAATTAACACTTTCAGAAATTTTCAGGAAACAAAATTTGCAAACAAAGAATGAAACTCACTTCACATGTTTTGTTTCTGCAAAGCTGACACGTCGTTTAAGCTTTGTTGTAGTTGCTGGACTACTTTCAGTAGATAAACTAGTGACATTTAAATTCTGTAATGGCTGTCGTGGTTTAGAAGGCTTAAGAATCTATATACAATATGAAAATAATAATAAAAACTGTAATTGCCAATAAACAAAAAAAGACTGGTGTTAAAGTTAATCATATAAAATTAAGTGATTTATCTTGAATCAGTTAATACGCAACGCAATCATCGTGCAATGTACATAAAGCAAAACCAATAGTAAACAACATTCATGTCCATTAATTATGCATATAGGTACATAAGTTTACAACATTAGTGTACTTACAGAAGATCGCCTTGAGCTACTCCTAGTCTTTCTGATGGGAGCCCTAAAAATATAAAGTACCACACTTAAATTTCAAATTCAAGTATATAAAGATCTCTTAACACTATTAAGATTCATAATTATTATTTCGTATAGTAGCAGATTGTAACTAAATCTATCCATAATTCAATTTAAATCCGTAAACAGTGTTAATATGTTATTGTAGTATATCGAGATTCAAATTTTGTACAGTTCTATTCCAGTCGTTTGAACACTTTTTTATATTTGTCATATTCCGTCACAATTGGAAACATATAACACATGTGCTTGAACAGAATTATAATAAAACAAATGACGCTGTACTTACATTTCATTACATATATCTAATGAATCCAATTCAAATTCAAACTGAATTTATAAGATCGTTGCCATTGCCAACAATTCCTACCAACCACAGCAACCACACCACTATTCGCGCCAACGCCAAACCAACGCCAAACTGAAGCCATCTGTCTCGTCGACTTTAGAATATTCTAAGGTCTATATCTAAACGCCATCTACAACTACCCTCATGCATAGTTTTCAAAAATATTTTATGAACTTTAATACATATACATACATATATTAGAGACGAAACTCTTATCTGAATGTTCTATGTACCTATCTCTAAATTACATATTCTTTGAGAAACACTCATTGAGTACTTTTAAGAGTTTGAACGACAAAAATTAATGTTTCCGTCAGATATCGCCTATATGACATTTAAACTACTTATAGACGCGTGCGCACTGAAAAGTAGTTAATGAAAAATACTAAAGTTTCCTTTCTATAAAATTGCTCCGTTTAAGCTTGTCAATATGGTGGCGGCTTAAATAGATCGAACAGAAGAAATTGTACATGAAAATGGGGTTTTATCGTACCATAAATAAATCGTAATCTACAACCAATGATAAGTCGCCAAATATGTGATTTCATTTAGTGACGCTTATAAAAATATATCGAGGATTAAATACTCGTTTGTGTTTTCACGTAGATCTTCTGTATTATTGTCGAACCAGCCTCCACTTGAAGTTTAAATAAATAAATATATACATGGTGTTGGTGTAGATCAGCAGACAGATCTAACAAATAAAAAGACGCATCGTATGAATCTTCGAAACCACAGTACATAATATCAATTGGCCTCGGTATCATCGTTAATTAATACTCTTCAAATAATTGACAGTGGACGTTCAGCTGACCAAAAGAAACCGTAATAGTTAAAGTTCTATAATAATGGAAGGCACCACAGTAAAACTAATAATAAAAACACCGAATCAGCAAATTAAAGATCAAGTTGTTAATTGTGATATCGAATGGACCATCGGCCGATTAAAAGAATATCTGTCCGAAGTTTATCCTTGCAAGCCAGTGAGTCTCATTGCTTGTATTAATGAATTCGATCGTGTGAAATTTTGTGAAAGTCCATCTAATTGTCGGTGAAAGCAAAATGTATGTTTGCTGTCGTAGATCAAGGAATACGTTAATATCCTCGAACTTTTCTGTTTTTGACATTTCCCAATGGAAACATTTCTAACATCATATCATTTTATCAGATAACGATGTAGTTTTATTTGTAAGTCTTTTAAGACTTTATTATATCAATAATGAAGTCTGCTCCATAATTCTGCTTATTCATGTCTTTAAATTCTATTAATTGTATATTATTCACACAATGATAAGTGATTGTCATTCACAGGAAAAAGCAAGTCAAAAACTGATATATTCTGGCCAATTGTTAAATGACTCCACATGCTTGAAAGATGTTCTGAGGCAATGTGATGGACAAGAAGATCAAGCTTACACTGTTCATTTAGTTTGTGCTTCTCAAAAAATAATGCCAGAACAGAATAAAGAGAGCACAAGCAGTATAGCTTCTTCTACAAGAAATGTAATGGAATACGCAAGATTAAATAATGCAAATAGTGTACAAAATCTGGCTCAAAATATTAACAATTTCACTATACAACACAGTCCTACACAATTGTATACTACACAGCAATATTTCGATCCAAGGAATAGTCAACAGATGACTTGGATGCAACAGGCATATACACATTATTTTACTCAGTACATGCAATTGTAAGCAAACTCCTGCTTTTGTTTCCTTATTAAATATTAATAGTAGCTAGTAATAAAATATTATTTTGGTCTTATAGAATGGCAGCACAAGGAATCCCATTACAAACTAGCATTCCATATGTACAACAAATGAATGTCAATACCAATGATAGTGATCAAAATCCATATGGAAATAATACCAATAATAATAACAATAATAACAATGTAGGTGATGAACAACAACAACCTGCAGCCCAAGATGTTGACATTATTGGTGGAAACAATGGTGCTGAAGAGGATGGTGCATTTAACATAGATTGGCTAGATTTCTCTTATACTCTGTCCAGAATAATTGTTCTCTTCAGTCTTTTATATTTTTACTCATCTCCACTAAGATTCCTTGTTGTCATATTTCTTGGTTTTACAATGTACCTGTAAGTTTATATATCCTATATTCACAATTCACATCAATAATATGTACAACTTGAAAAAAAATTAATGGATCCAATGATTTACAGATATCAAGGTGGTTTCTTCCGAATGCAACTCGTTTTTTTGCCAGAAAATAATAATGGTCGAGTAGACAGAATAGATAACAATAATCAAGTATTGCAAAACGAAGCTGCTGCTCCCCAGCCTGTAGCGCAACAACCAAATGGTCCAGTACCAACAGTACAAACAGAAGCTATGACAAACGCGAATGAAGAACACGAAGAAGAGAGACCAGGAGTCTTAGCTTTTACTTGGACTTTTTTCCGTACATTTTTCGCATCTATAATTCCAGATCAACCGAATGTTATATAATATGTCGAGAGCTTACAGCTTCTTACACTCGTTTCTCTTGTAAAGTTAATTTTCTTGTTAAAAAAATTTTCAGAACATGACACTGGTCCCATAGTGGTGGTCTCCCCAGTATAATATTAACACTTTACCTACCGGACGTTTATTAATAGAGTTTTCAATGAATATGCTATATCAAAAAGCAACATAGAAATTTCTCTTTAAAAATTAATCCCGAAAGATGTAATAAGATTACGTTATTAGGAGGGATTTATTGTTTTGCGTTAAAAATTGTTATTGTTAATAAAAAATCCTTAACCATGAATCGTAGATTCCTGAAAACTATTACATAATCACTGGTAGGTAATGTGTTAAAAATGAAATTAACACTGTTAGGAATTCTATAAGTGACTTTTGTAGAACACCATTTTAAGAAAGTTGTATGAAATTTTCAAGCATAAGGCTCTTGTATACAATAATACATATAGTAATAATAAGTATACATATTATATATATGCTTCAAGCAAACAGCATTTTTATATAGATATTTTCATTGATATATGTGAATCTGCAAGTGCAACATCGATTCTCTGAGACTACCCCCAATGTTTATGCATCAAATGATCAAACAATCAACAATTATTCTGCAGCAGGTGACTTTAGCTTCAATTCAATGAAAGATTTTTGACGATCGCCTCAAAGTGTTTGGAATTTGTTATATAATAAACTTTCTGTTTTTATAGTTATATAAAGATACAACGACAACAAAAATATGTACTGTGTATATAAATAAATTATTGTAGAGCTTATAAGGTACTGATATAAACATCAAAAAAGATAATAGTCAAATTTAAAGCTTGCCAAGTTTTGTTTATAGATTGTTACAGCAATAAGTATGTTATGATGCAATGATTATTTCTGTGATTTTTAATGTGGGTGAATTTGCGGATGCACCTTGTACAATGTATTAAATCTTTGAGCCCCGCTCGATACATATATATGTACATACACACATATATGTTTACATATATGTATATATATATATATACATACGTATATTACAATTATAAATAATAAGTTATACATATATATGTATAAATAATATATTAACTAAAGGTGTACTTAAATTGTAGAATTTCTGTANCAACAACCTGCAGCCCAAGATGTTGACATTATTGGTGGAAACAATGGTGCTGAAGAGGATGGTGCATTTAACATAGATTGGCTAGATTTCTCTTATACTCTGTCCAGAATAATTGTTCTCTTCAGTCTTTTATATTTTTACTCATCTCCACTAAGATTCCTTGTTGTCATATTTCTTGGTTTTACAATGTACCTGTAAGTTTATATATCCTATATTCACAATTCACATCAATAATATGTACAACTTGAAAAAAAATTAATGGATCCAATGATTTACAGATATCAAGGTGGTTTCTTCCGAATGCAACTCGTTTTTTTGCCAGAAAATAATAATGGTCGAGTAGACAGAATAGATAACAATAATCAAGTATTGCAAAACGAAGCTGCTGCTCCCCAGCCTGTAGCGCAACAACCAAATGGTCCAGTACCAACAGTACAAACAGAAGCTATGACAAACGCGAATGAAGAACACGAAGAAGAGAGACCAGGAGTCTTAGCTTTTACTTGGACTTTTTTCCGTACATTTTTCGCATCTATAATTCCAGATCAACCGAATGTTATATAATATGTCGAGAGCTTACAGCTTCTTACACTCGTTTCTCTTGTAAAGTTAATTTTCTTGTTAAAAAAATTTTCAGAACATGACACTGGTCCCATAGTGGTGGTCTCCCCAGTATAATATTAACACTTTACCTACCGGACGTTTATTAATAGAGTTTTCAATGAATATGCTATATCAAAAAGCAACATAGAAATTTCTCTTTAAAAATTAATCCCGAAAGATGTAATAAGATTACGTTATTAGGAGGGATTTATTGTTTTGCGTTAAAAATTGTTATTGTTAATAAAAAATCCTTAACCATGAATCGTAGATTCCTGAAAACTATTACATAATCACTGGTAGGTAATGTGTTAAAAATGAAATTAACACTGTTAGGAATTCTATAAGTGACTTTTGTAGAACACCATTTTAAGAAAGTTGTATGAAATTTTCAAGCATAAGGCTCTTGTATACAATAATACATATAGTAATAATAAGTATACATATTATATATATGCTTCAAGCAAACAGCATTTTTATATAGATATTTTCATTGATATATGTGAATCTGCAAGTGCAACATCGATTCTCTGAGACTACCCCCAATGTTTATGCATCAAATGATCAAACAATCAACAATTATTCTGCAGCAGGTGACTTTAGCTTCAATTCAATGAAAGATTTTTGACGATCGCCTCAAAGTGTTTGGAATTTGTTATATAATAAACTTTCTGTTTTTATAGTTATATAAAGATACAACGACAACAAAAATATGTACTGTGTATATAAATAAATTATTGTAGAGCTTATAAGGTACTGATATAAACATCAAAAAAGATAATAGTCAAATTTAAAGCTTGCCAAGTTTTGTTTATAGATTGTTACAGCAATAAGTATGTTATGATGCAATGATTATTTCTGTGATTTTTAATGTGGGTGAATTTGCGGATGCACCTTGTACAATGTATTAAATCTTTGAGCCCCGCTCGATACATATATATGTACATACACACATATATGTTTACATATATGTATATATATATATATACATACGTATATTACAATTATAAATAATAAGTTATACATATATATGTATAAATAATATATTAACTAAAGGTGTACTTAAATTGTAGAATTTCTGTAATTTTTT